GACAACACCAAGTCAAGGGTTAAGATCCCCTTACCAGTCATCTTTTAAAAAAAAAAAAAAGGAGAGAGAACCAACCTTAATCGTTCTCCTTTATAAAGCCATCAGAACCACACCAGGACAACCCATTCAACCATCAACACATTACTCTGTGAACGATCAATCCATGCATGAGGGCACAGTCCTCGCTATACAATCACCTCTTAAAGTCCCCACCTTCCACCACCATATCAGGGGTTAGGTTCCAACGTGAGCTTGGGGACTCACTACACAACCCAGACCCCCGTATCTACACAGCTCCCCCCTCACTGCAATTTTGGTCTCTGCCCAAACAGCAGCTCCTCAGAGAGGCCTTCCCTAACCCTCTCTGGCTCCACCGCTCAGCACCCGCACACAGTAGGTGCTCAGGAAAGATCTCTGAAGGGATGCATGAAGGGATGCCATCGTGTCTGGGTTTGCTCAGAGTTTTAAGGAGGTTGCTCCTCCTCTCTGGGCAAAGGGGTGAGCACGGCCTTTGCTGAAGCACCTACCACTACCTTCTGGCCCTCCCCTCCCGGCTGGGTGCCCCATTCCCATTAGTCAGTTAATAGAGCCCTAAAACATGGATTCCAGAGTGTTTATTAAGGCAGGCAGAGGCACAGGACTGGCTCAGCGTGAGTGCTCGATGAAGCTCATGGAAGGAGTGGCCCCAGCCCCAGCCACACGGCTTCTTTGATCAGGGATACCTCTCACTTCTCATTTTGTTTCCTCCTTTCTCCTGGAGCCATTGTCTGATGGAAACCAGGAGTTGCCCAGAATCTGCTCAGATGGGAGGCTCCAAGCAGCCAGCCTGCAGTCTGGGGTGGCTCCTCCTTGACCCCTGTCCCCGTGAGGAGGGGCTGCCTTCACTGCATCTCTGTGCTCGTGACCCTGCAGCCAGGCAGACCTTAGGCCTCGTCCGTCCGTGGGCTTCCTGCACTGGCCAGGGATGGGAGAGGGTGAGTTTGCTTCTCGCTTCCCTCTGCTTCCCTGCTTTGCCTTGGGGTCTTGGCAGCGCCTTCCTCCCTGCTCAGCTCCAAGGAGCACACGGGAGCCTGGCTGCCGGCCGGAGAGGAAGTGGCCCAGACAAGTAGCTGGGAGGATAGCGTGACTGCAGAGGACACCGAGCCGTGCCTGGGCACACGCGTGTACACCCAGCTGCCCCCCAGCCCATGGCGGGGAGCAAAGACACACTCAGTGCCCTTCTGCTCACTGAGCAATAGCCCCTCGCCCCCCACCGATGGGCGAGATTCCACCCGGCAGTCTTGCCCAGGACACAGAATGGCAGCTGTCTCCCACCCTGCCTCCACCCCTCCAGTCCCACCGTGGCACTGCCCTCATGGCCCCGTGCCCAGCCTCCACCCTCATCCTAGACACAGTCCCCATGCGTGGCCTGGCTTTTCAGACATTTCCTCACCACCTCTCGATCAGCTCGACCTGGGGACACAGAGCACCACCTACCGCTGGCCTCTGCCCTCAGATGCATACTTTCCCAGAGCAGGACTGGAATCATGGTTCTGCCACATACTGGCTGGCTCACCCAGCTGAGAGCTCCTTTACTCGTAAGAGGTCATCAGAACTGCCTTGGGGCTGTTATGAGAAATTGTGAGAACTGGGTGCTCTGGAAGCTCCCAAGAATGGAGACATGATTACATACAAGCACTCGCACAATCCCCCAAGGCCAGAGGCCTGTGAGCTCTCCCTGCCCCCTAAGATCCAGACTAAACCAGCTCCATTTCCATCTGTACCTCATGAAAAGTTTAGTCTCTCCCTGCAGATCTGGGGTGGAGACTTAAATTCTCATAGTCCTTGGCATGATCGGCTGCCCAGTGCTGTCCCGTCCAGTGTGGCAGCCACTGGCCATGTGTGGCCACTGAGCACTGGAGGTGTGTCTAGTCCAAACTGAGATGTGCTGTAAGCATAATGATAAAAGGATAATATTTGGGGGCCGGCCCATGGCTCACTTGGAAGAATGCGGTGCTGATAGCACCAAGGCCACCGGTTCAGATCCCATATAGGGATGGCCGGTTCGCTCACTGGCTGAGCGTGGTGCTGACAACACCAAGTCGAGGGTTATGATCCCCTTACCGGTCATCTTTTTTTTAAAAAAAAAAATAATATTTTGGTGTATATTAGACTAACTAAAATAGATTATTAAAATTAGTTTTACCTGTTTCTCTTTATTTTTTTGAACGGCTGCTAGAAAATGAAAAGTCATACGTGGGGCTCGCATTATTGTCTTTATTGGGCAGCGCTGGTTTCATAGCTCTTCCTCGATCTCTGCCCCAGATCGACTCACTCAAAAAGCCCCTTCCCTTGCTTCCTACAGAACACCTGCTCACCCAGGCCTCTGTGCACATGTCAGCAAAGCCCTGGGGACTGGGAAGAGTTTGCCCCGCAGCAGAGAATTCTCCTAGAACATAAATATGCGACCATAAAATGTGCTTTGCTCCCCACTGTGGTTCTCATCCTTCTCATTCAGCAGTCCTCCTTCCCAATTTCTCCTATTGTCTTATGCAGAGAAAAATCCCCCTTTCTCCAGCACCTGCATGCACCAAACTCACCTCCCTCCTGGCTTTGCCTTGTGCATCCTCTGCAAAGTGTTGAAACCTTCACCTTCAATGTGTGTAAGGGTCCATCACCCTCCTAGACAAGGGCCATCCTTCTTCCAGGGTCTTGTCTCCTGGCCTGTCAACATGTCCTCAGCTTGACTTGGCACCCCCTGAGCAGGCACGGAGGAAGCGGACAGGGAGTCACAACCTCTCCCAAGCACCAGGGCTCCCATGGGCTCTGGGGCTTCAGGATGGCGGCCTCTTCCCACACCAGTCTGTCTTAACTTTTCTCCCTGCATCCTCCTCCGTTCACCTGCGTTCACACGGATGACCCTCCTGTACCCTCTCTCATGCCTCCGCACATATGTATCCCCAGTGCCATGATGCATACATTCCATGGCTCGCCCAGCACCTCTCCCACTGCCATGTATGTGGGGAGTTGTCCTCACCATGTACAGACCCCTCACTCCCAACACACATGCCCACACGTGTTAGGGTGCCTATGAACATAGACGCGTTCGTTCACAGGCGGGTGGGCACGGAGACTGAGGCACATTCTCACATGGGGACTACTCAGGGGCACCTGCCTCACTCACCCACCACCAGCAGGCCTCCTTGTGTGGGTCCCCCACGCTCACGCCCGCCACACACAGCCCCTTGTCCACCTTATGCTGAGGCTCCTGTACTCCAGATAGGAGGGTCTCCTTCCAACTCTTCTCTCCTCAACTTCACCCAGTTCTGTCCATCTAGGAAAGTCTTGGAGGCACCTGGGAAGCTGAGGGTTAAGAAGCCGGAAAAAAAAGAGGGGCAACCACCATATTCCGGTTATAGAAAATCCTGCCAGGAGATGGGCTCAGGCCCCAAAAGGGACCCAGGGCTCTGAGTGAGCAGCAAAGATACAAAATCCAAACAAAAAGCTCTGGCAACCACCATATTCCGGTTATAGAAAATCCTGCCAGGAGATGGGCTCAGTCCCCAAAAGGGACCCAGGGCTCTGAGTGAGCAGCAAAGATACAAAATCCAAACAAAAAGCTCCTCCTTTTCTAGAATTTTCTATCTAGATTTGATGGAAAAATCAGCCACAGGAACATGGTCCTTCCTCACAGAGAAGACAAAGATGAATCTTGCAGAGGAGGGTTGGGAACAGCAGGCTCTGTGCCATCATACAGGGGACAGCGAGGGTCTTGGGGAGCGAGTCTGGGCAGCGGTATTTAGGGCAGCTGTGATGTCAGCAGAAAGGAGGGTTTGAGTTGGGAATGTGGTACAATGGCCCCTTTGTCGCCCTCCCCTCCTGTTCTGCACACTCACTGAAACCACACACCAGTCCCAGAACACGTGACACAGACTCCCACACGTGCCTGCCACCACCACAGCCCAACACATAGTGCATGTGCCCACATACATGCACATGCGTGTACACACACACACTTGTGTACCCACATGTAGATTTGTATATATGCAGTGAGAGACCTATGCACTCCTTTGCCTAGAGCTATACTGCCCAATACGGAAGCCTCTAACCCACATGTAGTTATTAAAATTAATTACAATGAAATAAAAATAAAAATTGCATTCCTCAGTCACACTGGCACATTTCAAGTGCTCAGTAGCCACCTGTGGCTAGCGGCCACTGTAATGGACCGCACAGATATGGGACACGCTCGTCACTGCAGAAAGCACTGGCCTGAGCCTTGCCACAAGCAGGCTGATGGTCCCTTGCCCTTCCTCTCACATGCACTCACACCTGTGTACAGAGCACACACAGCTCCCCACCACACGTCAAGCACGGCCTCCTGGGATGAAGGGCCCAGGTGAATCTTACAGACCTGGAGAGCTTCGTAAGTTCAGAGGAGGAAGCTCAGCCTGGGTTGGGCAGGGAATAACGGGGTGGGGAGGAACATTAGAGTGTGGCCTGGAGGCAGACAGAAGGGACTTCATTTCAGTCGCAGGAAGGAGCATAAAGAAAGGGCTGGAAGAGGGGAAGTGTGGTGCACGTAAGGGATTTGCAGTCACCCTTTTTGGTTGGTGGGACACATAGGTGCAGGAGAGGGGACAGTGAGCATGGACAGGTGGGTAGTGGCCAGGTAGAGCCTTGGATGCCGGGTTCAGGATGCTTCTAGATCCCCTATCGAGGTAGGTGGGGATGGTACCTGGACAGCAAGGGTTATGAGTGCCAGAGGTCCAGGTAGATGGGAGTGACCTGGACAGTATGTCCTGACAGCAGGCAGGCATCGCCAAGCAGTCAATCATGCATTGATCAATTAATTGATCACGAGGTACCACACGACTTTGGCAATTTGCATATGTATATGCCTTTTTTATATGCCATAGTTTCTGCCATCACATACTCTACCCTGAGCTATGCCCCTTCTCTATATGCCATACTTTCTTATTCTAGACTAACTCCCTTTCTTCTCTCCTAATTGTGGTAGAAGATGAATTATGAAAGGCCATAACTAATAGCCATGAATACTTAATGATAGCCATAGTATTACTGTTGCTCATAACAACTGCAGCCTTGTCCATCTCTCTGGAGACCCAGGGGAGGGACACAGGCTTTTCCCTCCTTTGAGGTCTAGATCCTGAGACCTTGGGCGGAGGGGATGGACAGCTGTCATCTCCTGTCTCCTGGTCTCTGGGTGCCCGGTTTGCTCCAGGCTCCCAACTCTCTGGATTCTCCGTCCTCCACTGACCACACACCACTGTCCCCATTCCCCGAGGTTGGGGAGCCAACCAGTCGCCCTCCCTCTTGGGGCCTCAGGTTCTCAGGCAGGCAGAGAGGGTCAGGCAGAGGATGAGGGAAAAGAGGAGGGAGAAGGAGGAGGAGGAAGCAAGGATTTGAGGAAAAAAGAAAGGAAAAGGAGTGGGCAGGAGGCTGGGGCTGGGCAAAACAACTCCCCAGACCACCCCACACCCAGGGGTCTCATGTTCTGGGGGTTCAAGAAGCCAAAAGGGACCCAGGACATACCTAGAAGGGCTGGGGCCTCTGTCCTTCCTAAGAGCACCCTGTAAGCACCTTAATCGCAGCTCTCCAAGACCCCCGGGAAGCTTTTGTGAGGGCTGGGCCCTCTCCCTCAGTCCCCTGGGAGCCCGTGAGCATGCGCTGGGGCATTGCTTCCTCCTGGTCTCCTCGCAGCCCTGGGCAGGCTCAGCAGACCCTCCTCACGCCATGCTGCTTGGCAGGAGCTCAGAGGAGGTGAGGAGGGAGTAGAGGCCAGATGACCCCATGTTTTTCCAGGGAGAGGTCTTGCTGAGGGGCTCCCATGTCTTTCTCCTCCCAACACCCATGATACTCACGGTGGTACCCGTGAGCAGTGCCACCCATCCCCCAACCCCCCAACCTGCAGGGCACCCATGGCAGTGGAGAGTTGATGATGCTGATGGGAGCGTGGGCATGAGGTTTGGGCCCCCCTACCCCCCCACCCCACCCCTGGGATCTGGAGGGAAGTGTGCATGTGTGCGTGCATGTGTGCGTCGCTGCACAAGTGGGTTCCCTGCATGGCACTGCGAGGAGGATTGCAAGAAAGAGAAAAATAAAAGAGGAAAGAAAAAAGTTTAAGGCATAAAAAAGGCAAAGGGAAGGTGGGGGGGGGGCTGTAGAAGGAGCTAGAAGAGAAGGGGGAAGAGGGAAAGGGCAGGAAGTGGGAGGCAAGCCCACCCACCCTAGAGCCCCCTCCCCACTTCTCCCACTCCCCCCAACCCCAAGGAAGGAAATCAGGAGGCCACTGCAGATATGTTTGGGTCATTTCCACATGCTTTATTCCAGCAATCAAAATAATTAAAAACATCTCAAATTATTATACACATACAAAATAGGTACAGAGTCTCTTGCTTCCTCCCACCCCTAGGGGAAAAACTGCTTTGTGCTTTGGGAAGTTGTGCTCTGAAACCCGGCGAGAGAAGACACAGGACAGACCGGGAGAGAGGCAGGGAGGATGGGCTGCAGTGGCAGGAGAGAGGGTTTCAGAGGAGAGAGGTGAGAGCGAGGCCTGAGGAGCCAGGGGCAGGCGGAGAGAGGGCGGAAAGCAGCGGCTGGAGCCACGGCACTCTCTCCCGCTGTGTTAAATAGCACCTTTAGAAAATTCACATGAGTCCCCATCCACGGGAAAAAAAAAAAAAAAACAAAGAATAAAAAAAGACTTTGAACAAAAAGGAACATTTGCTGGCCTGGGGGGGTGGCATCTCAACTTCTATAGCACCAGTGATTCCCTCCCCACCCCGCCCCGTCACATAGATGTAGCACCTTTGATATAAAATGGGAAGTCACTTCCACCCTGTCCCCATCCCCGCCCCCACGCAGTTGCCCCGGTGACACACAAAGACAAGAACGAGGTAGTCTTTCAGCAACACAGTTACACAAGGAACAGACAATCTCCCACCCAGCCCTGCGGCTCGGGGGATGGACACGCTTTCCCCAAATCCGATGTTTCCGCTCTGTCTGTCGTGGCCCTCCTCTGAACCCGGTAAGGGGCCGGTGGCTCCCCCGGCATGGCCCCCTCAAAAAACGAAGAGGGGTTTGTTACAGGGGCCACGGGGATGGCAAGGCTTCTTTGGCAGTCTGAGAACCCCAGGTCTCCCCAGAGTTTGGGGGTCCTGGGTGGGAGGGAGTGGGCTGGGGGGTGCGGGCCACTTGGGTGGTTCAGCATTGCCTTTGGTTGCTGGGCAGACAATGCATTGTTTCCTGTGTCTTTTGGGGAGACTTAGATTTAGGGAGCAGTGGAGGGGAGGCCCCAAGGGGGGTGGAGAAAGGAGCAGAAAGGGCAGTGTTGGGGTATCATAAGCCCAATGGGCAGAAAAGGACTTACCCCCACATGGGTCTTCAAGCAAGTGGACCAAGCTTCCTTTTTTTAAAAAGTTATTTATTTATTCTTTTTTTTTCTTTTTTGGTGAGGTTGAATGCACTTTTGGTTTTTGGTCATGTTCAGTTGGTCAAAGATAAAAACTAAGTTTGAGAGATGAATGCAACGGAAAAAAAATATTTTCCAAAGTCCATGTGAAATTGTCTCCCATTTTTTGGCTTTTTGGGGGATTCAGTTTGGGTTGTTTGTCTGTTTCCAGAGTGGGGGGGAAGTGGGTTGGGTGGGAGGGAGCCAGGTCGAGGTGGAGGGAGTTTACAGGAAGCAAACAGGGCTAATGTCGAAGCCGAATTCCTGGTCTGGGGCGCCAACGTCCAAGGGGGCCACATCGATGATGGGCAGGCGGGAGGTCTTGGTGGTTTTGTATTCGATCACTGTCTTGCCCCAGGCTCCAGTGTGACTCTGGGGTGGAGGGCAGACAACGGAGGGGGCATTAACAAGTGGGAGTGATGGAGTGAGGCAAACGAGGCTTGCCAAAGACGCCACAGCCCAGAGAGGTGGGGCCCTGCCTGGGGACTCAGGAGACTCACCGTGCAGCCATCCACGGTGACGCTGTAGGTGAAGCGGCTGTTGCCTTCAGCCCTGATCTCGATCTCATTGGAGCCCTGGAGGAGCAAGGCCTTTTTGAGGTTCCCGGTCTGCTGGTCCATGTAGGCCACGCTGTTCTTGCAGTGGTAGGTGATGTTCTGGGAAGCCTCGGTGGACATCAGGCGCAGGAAGGTCAGCTGGATGGCCACATCGGCAGGGTCGGAGCCCTCACCACCATACTCGAACTGCAGGGGAGGCGAGAGAGAGGTGAGTAACCACGCAGGAGCCTCTGAGAGAGTCCCAATGGACCCTAACTTCAAAGGGCGTGTCACTTGCCCACAGACACCCTGCACCGGTATCAAGGATTCAGGACTCCCACCTCCCAGCCCAACTCTGTTCATCGCACTTCGCAGAGATCTAGTCCTCTCCAGGACTTCATGTCCCTTCTGGACACTGGGCTAGCCCACCTCCTGAGAGTGGCCCTACGGTCCAGCT